AGTCAGTGATATATAGTGTATCTGTAAGATACACGAAATCTTTGTAGAAATTCCTCTGAGTCGAGCTTGAGGCCTGCGAACTGTATGACAGTAAAATTATACTAGCTACGTAATATTTGACTCTTTTCTAAATTATCCCAGGATTATGAAGTATTACAACAAAGATTCTGACATCAATGATATTATCACATGAGACATATTATCAAATAAATTTTGTTTAAATTTTCCGATGTGTAAAAAAGCATATAAGAAAATAATAGGGTTAAAATATTGGAAAGAAATCAGAATCACAGGACTTTTTTCTCCCTACATTTAAAAAAATTTGAAAAAACAACAGAAAGTATTCATTTAGATACATACATGCTCTAATTTGCCAAATGTAATGGTAGAGAAAGAAATAGAAGATTTTGATGAGGCTCAATTATTAACTTCTGGCAATGTCCAATTGCCAGAAACACTATGGTAAAAGATTAGTGGACAACATCTTGAGATTTTGTATTAACAAATGCCCCTTTATCCTCCCACACACTCTCAGTAATTTGGAAAGAAAGAAACTAAGGAGGAAAGTAAACGGAGAAAACAAGTAAGAAGAGAATTTTCTATGAACTATCACATGAACTCAGAATCTTAGAAGAGGCAGAAAACCAGCCTTGGCTCACAGTATTCTAAAACCCTAGGCTAAGGAAAGGAAGTGAACCCAGAAGGAGTGCACAGGTTAGGTGATCTTGGGTTCCTGGACATTTGGAAGAAATCTCTGAAGAAAAATAAGCACTTGGGCTCTTCCACAAAGGCTGAACACGGGCCCAGCAGAAGAAATCCTCCTCCATCCAGACCCTGAAGCTACAGAAAACTAGACAGAAGAGTAGGCATCCTACTCCTTGGGTGCAGCTAAGAAATGAAAACAAACAGGTCTTAAATAAGAAGAGAGAGCTGACTTAAAAGTCATTTACTTTCAATAGAAGTTCTGGATAGAGTGTCATCTGCACATATTAAAAAGGAGAAATATTTTTAAAGAAATACTTGGCAATAATGCAAATATACTACCAGAAAGAAATGGAGGACAGAAGGAAAGAAAGAGGGAAGGAAGGAAGGAAGGAAAAAAGAAAAAAGGAAGGAAGGAGGGAAGAAAGAAGGAAGGGAGATAATGGAGGCTAGAGAAATGAAAAGAGGGAGAGAGGAAAAAAGTGAGAGAGGAAAAAAGTGAGAGAGAAGAAAAGAATGAAAAGAAAAAAGAAGAGAAAAGAGAATGCAGGCAGGAAGAATACAAAAGGTACACAAAGAAACCAGTTTGGAAGAAAGAAATACATGAAAAGAAGAAAATTCTCTGTGACAAGTTAATAAAAATATAAATTTCACAAACCTTGAAATCAAAGATGGAATGTTGAAAGAGTAAATGTTTGCAGAACTGAAAACCAGGATGGTGAATTATGTGCAAGTCACTTAGCTGTGTATGCTTAAACAGAAATATAAAACTTCTGCTTTATATTTCTATAATAAAAATGGAAAAATATATTTCCCTACTCATTGATAACTTGAAAGAATTAAAATAGAGTATCTCTGGAAAGTCACTAGCAGAGTGGCTAGAATATAGTAAGTGCTCAATAAAAGCAGGATTATTAGCTGTGTGGTATGTATAGCTAGCAGAAGAGAAATGAAAATCTTAATCATGATCACTTTAGAGTCTATGCTCTTGTGATTACATCAGTTATGAAAACATATTAATAAAAAGCACAGAATGTATAATTATCAAATGTTCTGCCATTCCAATGTGGCAAGGGGTAGATGTGAATACATTAGTTATCACAGCCAAGGATCCAAAGCAGTAGACTAGAAAATCTAATTAAAAGAGGATAAATGTGGTGTACTAAACTTTGGTTTTAAAAGATCAAACAAGAATTTAAAAAGCGAGTGACAGAATTTCTCAAAAGTTTAAGTAACAGGCAGTGGCAACCTCAGTATGATTTAAGTGTAATACAATGTCGTAAAAAGCTAAAACCATCTTGTTTTGCTTTATTGAAGGACCCATTTGCAGAAGAGGGATATAAAAATACAATTGAAATTTGCAGAGCTAAGATCACATCTGGAACATAGGATTTCCTTCAGCACACCACACATTTATAGGAGTATTGACAAATGGAATGTACCCAGGTATTTCCTGGTATGGTAAAGCATCTGGAAATGACTCAAAGAACTGAGTGCATTTAGCATGAATTAAGTAGTGACGTTGGAGTTGTCATCAAATAATTGAAGAAAAGACAGAGGGAAGAAGAATAAAATGTATGCTGTTCCAAATGCCTGAACTTATGTAGGACCAGTAATATAATTTAGGCTCAATATAAGGAAGCTTTTTATATAAAGTTTCATATTATCCAAAGATAGAATTTCCTTTTGAGATGTCTTTGTCATTGGATGTGCTCAAGAAGACGAATTACAGTCTCACTGGGTCTATTGTAGAAAGGATTATTGCAATCTTTGGAAGGTCAAACTAGATGATTTCTGAGTTTCTTTCAATGCTATTATTATTGCTATAATAAGAGTTCTGTATGTGAGTTTTGTGGCCAGTAATCCTGAGCGTTTAAAGGTCTGTGTCTATTCGGAGGAGCAGGACATGATATGGATAACCCTTTGCAAAGGGGGTATAACTTACACAATGGCAGTACTATTGTTGGTAGAGATCACATTTGACTGAATGCCAGATTTCCTAGACTGCTGATCTGCAGGTTTTTACCTGAAGAAATCATCTTAATTTGCTTATGGATTTTTGGGAGTGAAAGTGTACAGGCAGATGGTGACATCAACAAAAATAGTGGGTATGTGGGAAAGGAATTTTGCTACTATTTTTCAATCATAACCATGGTGAGATGTTATTGAAAGAGAATAATGTCAATTTTTTTTAGACATTTTGTCTACTAACCCATATCTGGTGGGAACAGGAGGATGTTACCAAGACAATAGGATCTCGTTGATCAAGTATAAGTCAAGTGTATGATTTCCTTGACATTTACATGAATTAATGCATTCCTTCTTCCACATCTATGGGGTGCACACTGCCCCCCTCCACAGTCACATGGGCATCTCTGCTTCTAATTTCCTGTGCCTTCTGAGCCCTAAGTCTCCTTTCACCACCCTTTTCTGATGCAGATATACAATAAACTTCCTTTTTTTTAGATATCTCATACAAGAATTTGGGATGAAGTAGGTTGTACTGAAAGTTTAGTAGATAAAAGATGATTTCATAGAGATATATAGCAATAAATTTAAATATTAAAACAAGCAATTTCTTGTTATGATAAGTCTTCTGGCCAATTTGCCACTGAGATTTCTCCTAGACAGCATTTCTTTTTTTTTTTTTTTTTTTTGAGACAGAGTCTCGCTCTGTCGCCCAGGCTGGAGTGCAATGGCCGGATCTCAGCTCATTGCAAGCTCCGCCTCCCGGGTTCACGCCATTCTCCTGCCTCAGCCTCCCGAGTAGCTGGGACTACAGGCGCCCGCCACCTCGCCCTGCTAGTTTTTTGTGTTTTTTAGTAGAGACGGGGTTTCACCGGGTTAGCCAGGATGGTCTCGATCTCCTGACCTCGTGATCTGCCCGCCTCGGCCTCCCAAAGTGCTGGGATTGACAGCATTTCTTAACAGGTTGCAGACCACTACAATGTTTTCCAGCTCCCTCCTTTTTTATGTTTCCCTCCTCCTATTTTCTTTATTCCAAATCCAAATATCTGTGTTCTTCTTAAGCCAAGCAGTTAAGTATCTCCTCTCACTCAAACCATTATGTTTTCACATTTCCTAGCTAAAGTAACCAAAGCACCTTTCAAAACAAAGTTCTTACCTTACGTGAAATTAAGGTGCCAACTGCTAAAATGTTTTTCTACAAATTCTTGTTTTTGATTATCTGAATGGGGAACCTCTAATAGCTATGTCATTGGATCTGGACTATTGATTATTGAGGATAGCAGAGTTAGGTGGAAAAAAATGTGAGATTTGGAGTAAAAGGTTTAGGTTTTACGTACCTGCTTTGCCATTTAAATGCTGTATGGCTTTGGAGAACTGACACAGCCTCTCTGAGCCTCTTTTTTGCCATCATCAAGTTGGGATGACTTCCACTTTAGAGAATAATTGTAGGATTATCTGAGAATGTGTAGACAAATCACTCAACTAAGTAGTTGGCAGGTACTAACCCTCAACAAATGTTCATGAATTCTTGGAATTCATTCCTCTTCTTCCTAGCTTCTCCCACCCCCACCAATATCTTATAATCATACTCTGATTTATAGCTTGAAATATTGGGAACTGCTATCAAACATGTAGATACGGATAAAAAATATTTTTACAGACAAATTTTAGCCCTTTCCTTATATATTTCATAACCAAACTCCTGCATTACTATGCACCCAAACAATGGAGTTGAGAAACTAGCTTCTAAACATACTGAAAGCAGAATAATCATGGGCAGAAAATTGTCTTGGGAGGACCTTGGAAGCTCTTAAATGCTGGGACTGTGTGGAGATATTTCATACACTATTATTAGTATGTTTTCCTCATTTGTGGCAAGTGATGCAGGGGTATTTTTGTTTGTTTGTTTGTTTCATTTCTTTTGAGCAGAGCATATGCTCAGAGAATGATGCCAAGCAGGGTGAAAAGTTGGAAACTAAGCAGGGCTCAGGCATCATCTTCTGTAGTTTTTGGAAATTATAATGACAATCTGATAATGGAAAAAAAGTGCTATTTACAGCTTAAGCTAAAAAATTATGTGTGTCTTCCCTTTGGCAATTTTTAATTTTAACAGATCTTTTCTGTCTCCTCCTTGTAGAGTGCCTGGACATCAACATCAGATCAATTTGGAATTTCATGCAAATAAAACACACCAACTTAATGGGATGTGAAAGAGTTGGCTTCAGAATAAATCTTTGTTGAAAGGCACTGGAATTACATTTGAAATGGAAGTGAAACAAAGTTGAATTTTATGGCACTGGCTTACAGGCTCTGTCTTGCACTGTTTACAGATTGACCCAAATGAAGTGAGGAAGACCAGAATCAGGACCCATCCTGGCATATACCTTTCAACTGATAACATGGGTTGGTTCCTCTTTTTAATATATGCATTTTCATGTTTATTTCTTTATTTTTATTAACTTTTCCAGTAAGATTTCTCCCCCAAAATACTAATGCCAATTAACATTTAAATATAGAACTACAAGTTTAAATATAGAACTGTGTTGGGCTAGACACAATGTGATTTCCTAATTATTACCAACCTGTTTCATTTAATTTGTAGAATCGCTTGCAGCTTTTAAATAACTCTCTACAATCTCATTTCTTCCTGTTATCAATCCAGTACTGATAAAATAGTATCCCCTAAACTATAGTTGAAAACATTGTAATTCAGAGAAATGAGGAGACTCATCCAATGCCTATATTTGAAAGCAACATAGCTGATTTCAGGGTTTTCTAGATCTTATTTCCTGGCTGAATTGGTGTAGGTGGTAGTAAATAGCATATGTTGTTTCGGTACTGCAGATTTTAATCTATGATGATCCACATTCTGTTACAGAGACACCACGCATTACTATGGTCTCCAGGCTGTTGGCGATCATAACACTAGGGGGCACCATTTTGACTTCCTTCTTACCTTAGCCTTTAGTGCCTTCATATTTTCATATTGAAGGTTGATGGTGAAATCATGGGGAATTTTATTTCATCTTGCTCAGACAAGATTTTTGCAAGAGGCTTTACTTATGAAAGGGAGATGGTACTTCTTTCCACTAGTGGAGATGTGTAGAAAATTAATTCCTACAGAGTTCTAATTCTTATGACTATATAATATCAAGAAATGAGTATGGTAGAGTAGGACACATTTTTAGGGACTGTCATGGTCATTTAACTCTTAAACAGTGGGATTCCTTTCTCTTTTTCTCTTCACCGTCACAGAGATATGGACAGAAGGCCCCTTGTGTGACTTTGGAAGGAGATTTTGAGGGTAAGAGAAGGATTTGTCATCAAAGATTGCTACTCTGGTATTGTGGCTTAGCTGCAGCAACTATGCAGAACCGAACCCTTAGCATCCAGCTCTCAAAGAGATGTTGCATTTTGGGATGTTTGTATATGCAGAGGTTACAAACTACTTGAGGTATGATTGATTTTTGCTGCATAACAATTAATCAATTATTTTCATATTCATGGGTCTGCAGGTTTTCTGATTAAGAGGAGAAGCTCTACGGTAAGCCAGAGAAGAAAAGCAAGAATCTAAGAACAAGGTGCTACTTGGTATCTGCTGTCTGGGCCTATGTAATTTGGGGTTCCTAGCAGAGTATGTAATGCATTCAGAGAGAGGTATTTGTCTTTTCAAAATAGGATCCTGGACCTAATGGGCACTGCTTGAATTCAATACCAGAATACGATTCTAAATATCAGTAAAGTTTAAGATCATATACATTGCAATACTTCACAAGGTTTCTGGGCAGAGATTTTATGAAGAGATGACATAATTATTTTTTGAGTGTTCCTGACCCAATACTCAATAAAGATAGCAGTATACTGTTTACACGCAGGTGCATAACAAATTATGAAGGACACATAGTAAGTAATAACCTTAGTGTCACATTCCTCTCACAGCCTGATGACTATAGTTAATAACTGTTTTTTTTACCTTGAAATTTGATGAGAGCAGGTTTTAATTGTTCTCACTACACACACATGCACACATGCGTGCACACACACAAATAACTGTGAGTGATGCTGAATATGTTAACTAATTGGATTGTGGTCATCACTATACAATGTATACTTACATCAAATCATCATGTTGTATACCTCAAACATACACATGTTTATTTGTCAATTATCTCATTAAAGCTGGAAAAAATGTATTTCTGACAGGTCAAGGAGAAAAAAGGCAATACCTAAGAAAAAAGAAGCAGAAGCATAAAGATGCAAGTAGATTGATCACCTCCTGAGGTTATCAATGACTGTACATTGATGTCCGATTTTGATGTTTATAATTCTACCAAGTGAATGTGTTCTGCATTCTTAGACTTTCACATCGAGGCTTCTCTAGGGATTGGAAGGAGCTCCATAAAGATAAACTGTGTAACTACATTCAACATCCCCAGAAGCAGCATCCTACTGCTTAATAACCTCATTTCCAGTAGTGTGTTGTCTCCAAGTGCATGAGCACATGCACAAACACATAACACACTTGGTGGAACCATATAATCTCCATGTTGCAAGGGACTCTAAAGAGACTTGTAGTCCAGAAAGACTTACCCAGTGATAAATATTCATCACATCATCTCTAACTCTTCATAATATTGGATTCTACTAGAAAAATACACAGGAAGAAAAATCTAACTATATTTTGTGGTTGCCAATTTCATTTATGCCTATCCCAATTGTTAAGAAATTTTTGTTTTCATCGTATGGAACAGGATTTCATCTCCCCACAGACACCTCTCTGGGGTCCTAATTAAACTTTCTTGGATTAAAATCAGCCATAAAAATCTCAGTTTTTATAGTTATCGCCACACTGCATTGTGGCTTCTGGTGACAAAACATTTGTTCAGGATCTGCATGCTTTTAACTTACCTGTCTATCCTTTTAGTTCTCTCCTTAACTAAACTGGAAACACCAATAGGCCTCCAGGGTAGAATATGAAGCCCTAAGCAATTAACAGATGTAGAGGGTTATAGGAACACTGAGAATTGCTATGATTGGTGTTTGGGGAGTCATAGCCAGGGCTTGTAGCCCAGAGACAGATGATTTTGATTTCCCACCTCTCTTTGATGTCCTTGTTGACAGATGATGTGAAACTAGCTCCCCTGAGTGTAGTTTGTCTGAATTTACTGGATTTGCAGGTGTTTGGCTTCATCCCACTAATGGATAATGATACAAATGGTCTCTCAAGGCTTACTCAGTGCAGAAAGATCTCATGTATCATAGAAAACCAGAATATTAGAGTGAGAAGTAACTTTAAAGATGATCTAGTCTTACCCTGATTTTGTTATTTTATTTTATTTTAATTTTTTCTCTTTCTTTTAGACTTCAAATATAGAGTGTCCTGTTAATTATATTTCCTAGTGGTTCAATGATACTTCGCCTCGATGTCCTCTTGAATATTTTCCCCTTTATCACCCATCTCTCTCCATTCTCCCTTTCCCATGATTGGGTACTCACTCTATGTCTTTAGAGATGTATGATTCTTTGAAAAATTATGTTATTATTTTATGCTTACATGTGTTTTTAATTTGCATAAGTACAAGGTACTTTGTATCTCATTATTTGTAGTTCTTTTCTCATCAACATTATGTTTTGTGTGTTACTTCTGACAGCTGCTTAGTAAACCACTGCACACACTCCCCGTTTTCTGCCTACCCATCCATTCATAGATGCATACCTAGATTGTCATAAACTCCTCACTTCCATACATAATGCCCAGATGAACATTGTTAGCTATGCATCCTTATAGATCTATGAACAGTTGTTTCTGGGATACATATTAAAGAGGGGGTTTCTAGGATTTACTAATGTTTGATTTTATTAAATACCTTAAAGTGCTCTCTGGAATGACTGCAAGTCTATACTTCTAACTGCGGGTGCGTTACCTTTTCCACATATTCATGCCAAATGTAGCATTACTGTCTTCCTAATTTTTGCCAACATAATGGATATAAAGTGTATAAAGTGTTATAGTTTAATGTTATTCTGAGTTTTTTTATTACTTGTATTTTAGGCATCTCATATGCTTCTTGGTGTTTTAGGTTTCATTGTCTGTGAATTGCTTATTTATTTCCTTTTCCCATTTTTTCAACTTAGCTTATGAACTTTTAAAGTACATTGGCAAGAATTCTTTGAATATTTTTGACACTAACACTATGGTTTTTTTCTTCAAACATAATATATTTATCACACTCAGGAAATTGGACATTGGTGTTATGTTGTTACATGCATTTCATAGTCATGTTTCTTATAACAATAAGAATAATAAATAATAAAAAAGTGTCCTTAATATTGTTTTTCTTAAACCCACTATCCAACTAAAGATCATACGTTTCAGTTATCCTCATATCTCTCTCCTTTCCTTTAAAGATTGTCCCTAAGCATTTAAAAAAAATTTGTGGGTACATAGAAGGTGTATATATTTATGGGGTACATTAGTTCTTCTTTAAATGTTTGGTAAAATTTAGTAGTGAAGCTATCAGGTCCTGGGCTTTTCTGTGCTGAAAGACTATCACTGCATCTATGTCATTACTTGTTATTAGTCTGTTTGGGTTTTGGATTTCTTCGTGGTTCAATCTTGGTAATTTGTATGTGTCTAGGAATTTATCCATTGCTTATAGGTTTTCCAATGTATTGGCATATAATTTCTCATAGTAGCCTTTAATGATCCTTTGAATTCCTGTGGTATTGGTTGTAATGTCTCCTTTTTCATCTCTGATTGTATTTATTTGAGTCTTATCTCTTTTTCTTAGTGGTGCTAAAGTTTTGTCGATTTTAACTTTTCAGATAAACAACTTCTTGTTTCATTGATCATTTGTATTTTCTTTTCCTCTCAATTTCATTTATTTCTTATCTTTATTGTTGCTTTTCTAGTACTAATTTTGGATTTGGTTTGTTCTTGCCTTTTTAGTTCTTCAAGATGCATCATTAGATTGTTTATTTGAAGTTTTTATACTTTTTTGATGTAGGTATTTATTGCCACAAACATTTGTCTTAGTTTCTGCCCTAATTTCTACATTGACCTACTGATCATTCAGGAGCATATTGTCTAATTTCCATGTGTTTGTATAGTTTCCAAAATTCCTCTTGTTAAGGATTTCTAGTTTTATTCCATTGTGGTCAGAGAAGATACTTGATATAATTTCAATTTTTTGAATATTTTAAGACTTGTTTTGTGACCTAACGTATGGTCTATCATTGAGAATGATCCATGTGCTGAGAAGAATGTGTATTTTGCAGCTGTTGAATGAAATGTTCTGTAAATATCTGTTAGGTCCATTTGGTCTACAGTGCAGATTAAGTCCAATATTTATTTGTTGATTGTCTTTGTGGATGATCTGTCAGTGCTGAAAGTGGGATGTTGAAGTCTCCAGCTATTTTTGTGTTGGGGTCTATCTCTCTCTTTAGCTATAATGATATTTGCTTTATGTATCTAGGTGCTCCATTGTTAGGTGCGTATGTATGTGCAGTTGTTATGTCCTTTTGCTGAATTGACCCATTTATAATTATATAATGACCTTTTTTTCTCTTTTTATAGTTTTTGTCTTGAAATGTATTTTGTCTATTATATGTATAGCTATTCTTGCTCTGTTCTGGTTTCCATGTGCATGGAATATCTTTTTACATCCCTTTATTTTCGGTCCATATGTGTCTTAATAGATGAAGTGTGTTTCTTATAGGCAATAGATTATTGGATCTTAGTTTTTATTGTTGTGGTTGTTTTAAAATCCATTCAGCCACTCCATGTTTTTTGATTGGATATATTAGTCCATTTACATTCAATTATTATTAATAAGTAAAGAATTACTCCTGCCATTTAGTTGTTTTCTCATTATTTTATAGTCTTTTCTTTCTTCTTGGTTTCCTTCCTGTCTTCCTTTTAGTGAAGGTGATTTTCTCAAGTGGTATGTTTTAATTTTTTGCTTTTTATGGTTTGTGTATCTGTTGTATGTTTTTTGATTTGAAGTTATCATGAGGCTTGATATTATTCTTATATTATTCTCATAACCCAGTTATTGTTATAAGATATATGTAATATATTTTTGATAAGTTCATTTTGTAGTATTTCTACTCAAAATATTAGTTTATACAACACAATTACAGTGTTGTAATAGTGTGTGTACTTACTATTACCAGTGAGTTTTGTACCTTCAGATGATTTCTTATTGTTTATGAATGTTCTTTTGTTTTAGACTGAATATACTGAACTCTCTTCAGTATTTCTTGTAGGAAAGGTCTGGTGTTGATTAAATCCTTCAGCTTTCGTTTGCCTGGGAAAGTCTCTATTTCTTCTTCATGTTGGAATGATGTTGTAGATGAATATACTATTCTAGGATAAAAGTTGTTTTCCTTCAGCACTTTAAATATGTCATGCCACTCTGGCCAGTAAAGTTTCTGATGAGAAATCTGCTCCCAGACATATTGGAGCTCCTTTGTAAGTTATTTATTTCTTTTCTCTTGCTGGTTTTAGGATCCTTTCTGTATCCCTGATCTTTGGGAGTCTGATTGTTAAATATCTTGAGGTAGTCTTTTTTTTCCCCCCAAGATGGAATCTTGCTCTGTCACCCAGAGCTGGAGTGCTATGGTGTGATCTCGCCTGGCTGCAACCTCTGCCTCCCGGGTTCAAGCACTTCTCCTGCCTCAGCCTCCCAAGTAGCTGGGATTACAGGCGCATGCCACCACGGCTGGCTAATTTGTGTATTTTTAGTAGAGATAGGGTTTCACTATGTTGGCCAGGCTGGTCTCCAACTCCTGACCTCGTGATCCACCCACCTTGGGATCCCGAAGTGCTGGGATTACAGGTGTGAGCCATTGCGCCCAGCCTTGAGGTAGTCTTATTTGTTTTAAATCTGCTTGGTGTTCTATAACCTTTTTGTATATAATATTGATATATTTCTCTAGGTTTGTTTGGGAAATTCTCTCTTGTTATCCCTTTGAATAAACTTTCTACCCCAATATCTCTTTCTACCTCCTCTTTAAGGCTAATAATGCTTAGATTTTCCCTTTTGAAGCTATTTTCAAGATCTTGTAGGTGTGCTTCATTCTTTTTTATTATTTTTTCTTTTGTCTCATTTGACCATGTATTTTCAAATAGCCTGTCTTTAAGCTCACTGATTCTTTCTTCTGCTTGATCAACTTTATTATTAAGAGACTCTGATGTATTTTTCAGTATGTCAGTTGAGTTTTTCAGCTCCAGAATTTCTGCCTCATTCTTTTCAATTATTTCAACCTCTTTGTTAAATTTATCTGAGAGATTTCTGAATTCTTCTTCTGTGTTATCTTGGATTTTGTTGAGCTTCCTTAAAACACCTATTTTGAATTCTATGTCTGTTACATATCCCTATCCAGGACTGGTCCGTTGTGACTTATTTAGTTCGTTTGGTAAGATCATGTTTTCCTGAGTACTCTTGATGCTTGTGGATGTTCACTGGTGTCTGAGTATTGAAGAGTTAGGTATCTATTGCAGTCTTCGCAGTCTGGGCTTGTTTGTATCTATCCTTCTTGGGAAGGCTTCCATATATTCAAAGAAACTTGGGGGTGTGATGTAAATCTTTGGTCACAGCAGCTATAAGAGGGCACCCAAGATCAGTAACACTGTGGCTCTTGCAGACTCATAGAGGGACCACCTTGGTGGTCTTGGGTAAGATCCAGAAGAATTTCCTGGATTACCAGGCAGAGACTATTGTCCCTTTCACTTACTTTCCCCCAGAGAAACAGAGTCTCTCCCTCTATATGCTGACCTGCCTGGAGTTGGGGAAAGTGTGACACAAGCACCTCTGTGACCATGAACTGCTAAGACTGTGCTGGGTCAGACCCAAAGCCAGTACAGCACTGGGTCTTACCCAAGGCCCACAGTGACCACTATCTGGCTACTGTCTATTTTGAATCAAGGCTCAAGGCTCTACAATCATCCCATGGCAAATCCAGCCAGGCTTTTATCCTTCCCATAAGGGCAGTGAGTTCATTCCAGCTGTGGGTGGGTCTGGGGATGCAGTCTGGAAGCCAGGGCTCTGGCACCCAGATAGTGTGTGCAGGTAGATGCCAGTGGTAGTGTTGATGTAGGTCAAGTTGGCCCATCTTCAGTTCCCTGGAAGAAATGCACAGATGCTAGTGGTGGTTGACTGGGTGGGGTGCTCCCTAACCCCCTGGAAGGCATACTCAGGCACTGGGTGTGGAGAGGTAGTACCAGGCTAGGTGGACCTCATTCCACCTCCCAACTCCCAGTGGTGCATATAAGTATAGGTTGTAGTAGGCAGGGTGGGGGTGATCTACAGTGGGGGTTGTGGGGAAAGCCTACTGAGGCTTTTGTACAGTGGCCCTACTGCTGGTGGTGGGAAAAGTTGCTGTCAGTGGGAGCAGCCCCAGTCTGGCAGGTGACTTTCTGGCTATAAGGAATTTACACTTCAGCCTCCTGCAGCAGCAACGAACATAGTGTGCAAGGGGAGCCTGTCCTCAGTATGTGTGTTAAAACACAGAATGTGCTGCTGATGGGGAGGGTTTGCTCTCCACAGCCTCAAGCAGGCAGCTCTTAGTAGCTCCCTGTGGCAGCAGTGGCCATACAAGTATGTGGGAAGAGCCTCTATCTTCAAAGCACAGGCTAGAGCACAGAAGCTGTGCTGCTGTTAGGGCAGGGTTTTTATTAACAGCCCAGGCAGACAGCTCACAGTCTTTGAGGAGCTTGGCCTTCAGTTCCCTTTGTTCCAAGAGTAGCCTCCTGGGTGTACTGCACTGCCCTTTCCCTGAGGTGTGGGTCTATGTGTGAGCCACAGAGCTGGGAATCCAGTCATACTGTTGCGTCCATTAGCACTGGGCTGCTGCAGCCCTCCAGGGAGCTGCAGAGGGATGTAAGTGTAAGTGGGGAATCCTGAGATGTGACGATGCAGGGGCTGTTGGACCCCAGGGTAGGATGTAAGCCAGTGGAGGCTAGGTTCTCGGATGGCATGGTGCTCCAGCACTTAGTTTTCCAGTGGCACACATGAACCAGCATGAGCCCACTGGAGTAATGTCTTCACAGGGTCTTCAGGCAGCTGCCTACGCTAGTCTGAGAGGGCCTGTGTGGGTAGAAATGCTCTCCCGTGGCAGGGATTGCAGGAGTCTGTGGTGAAAACATGGACCACTAGGGGTCTTTCACTTATCCTTTACCTGCACTAGGGAGCTTCTCCAGGTTCCCAGCCCATCCTGGCTGAGCTAACTGCCTCAT